TTGATGCCAAACTCTTCTCCATCATCTGCAGACACAGATTGTGAATCAGAGCCCCAAGACCTAATCTTTTTCTCCCTTCTGCCTTCAGATGTGGCCCAGTGATGGATTTTTCTTTAAGTACCACCTGCCCTACAATCCATGCAATTTGATGGATCTCTGCTATTTTGATCTGTGCTCACACCTGAACACATATTTTAATTTTCTCTCTTTCTTCTCCCTTGCCTTATGAGTTATTAAAAGGGTGTTTTATGTATCCAGAAAAAAAGATGTGGTCCTGGAGACGCTCAGAGGCAGCACAAGAGTCCTGCAGGTGTCTCACCCCTGGGCCCATACTGTGCTGGGCCATCCTCCCGCAGCCACAGGCCCATCCGTACTGAACTCTGCAGGGCACTATATGGGGCCCAGAATCCGCCCCATGTCCCAGGCCACTTCCTCATGCACATCCACCTTGACAGGGACCTGGGCTCAGGGAACGGCTAGTTAGCAGGGGTGCTAAATCAACACATGAGAGAGCCAACAGCACAGATCTGGAAACAGGGCCAGAGAGAAAAAGTGACTTGCCTACCCAGTACCTGCCCTCTGCTAGTGCCATTTGCAATTTCAGCTGCTGCCTGGCTGCAGATGCCCGGAGGTAAGCATGCCATCCTTCCCTGGATGCCAGCTGTGAGCCACTTTGCCCTCCTCAGCTGTGAGCCACTTTTCCAGGTGTTCTGACTGAGTCCTGGCCTAAAAATCTTCTGTGGCTTCCTATTATGGTCTACAAGCCCTGTCCCCTGTCCCCTGCCCCTCACTCCAGGCTCTCTGCACAGTGAGTTTCTTCTATCATGTGCTGTGACCTGCTCCTTCTGGCTCATAGGGATTTGTTGGTGGCTGGAAATCAACCATGGTGGGAATAGGCTACACCAAGAAAATCCGTGAATGCTACAAATCAGATTCTTTTTCTTTTGGGGAGTGAGTAGACCAGCCCACTGCTAGCCCATGCCCCATGTGCCATGCTGTCACATAGCATGCTGAACATGCTATGCCCAGTCTGAAACACGTTGTCCCCTTTTTTACAGAGCTAACTCCACTTTTCAGACCTCAGCTCAGTTGTCACTTCTGGGAAGGTTTCCTTGACGTCTTTGAATAAAGTTAAACCCCAGCCATAAGCCTTTGCTTCTGAGCTTGTAATGCACTTGAGACTTTCCATAGGTGATGGATGGTTATTGTCCATCTTCCCCATGGAAATGTAAATTCTCTGTCATGCAAGGGACCCACCTGGCTCTGCTCATCACCAGGCACAGTGCCTGGTAATAGGGACTTACAACATCTGTGGATGAATGAGTGACTTGGAGGAATATGCACAAGACAGTGAGGTCTAAGTTTTGGCTTCTGCAGTGGAGACCACCCTTGCTCAGGCATCCACAGTCCCCAGCCTCCTTGTTCTTACCTTGGTCCTGTTAATAGCTCTGGCCCTTGGAATGTAGAAGTGTCCCACTGAGTCACCTGCCCCTTCTTGAATTAAGAGGAAGATGCATTTCTATTGAGCTCATTACTGAGGATTTGAGCTTGTGGGTACTGCAGCAGAACCTAATCTATGCTGACCTTCAACCTCAACCCAGCTCTGTCATTCCTTCCTTCCACCCTTGTGGAAAACCACTTCTCTGGGTTTCAGTTTCCTTAATGATAAAATGAAAGGATTCTACAAAGTCATCTCTGAAATCTTCCCAATGCTAAAATTCAGTTGTTCTTCTTGTATGTTTTCCTCACTCCTAGCACCATCTGCGGGAATCATAGATGCTTGCTAAATAAGAGGATTTTCTAGATAGGCATAAACTGTGTCACAACGATGTTGTGGTCAGTGATAAGCAGCAGATACAATGTGGTCCCATGAGATTATAATGGAGCTCACGCGACAACCATAGCGTAATGCATCTCTTGTGTGTTTGAAGGGATGCTGGTGTAGACAAACCTTGTGCACTGCCAGCCACATAAAAGTAGTGTGTGTATAGTGCCTCCTACTGGATAAAGAAAATAACTATGCCACTGGTTTCTATAGTTACTATACTATATTTTTTAAAATCATTATTTCAGAGTGTGGCCCTTCTGTGTAGGAAATAAAAGTTCGCTGTACTGCAGTGTGCTGGGTCACACTGGCAGCAGCCTCCTCAGTTTCGTGGTTACTGTATCAGAGGCCACAGTACGTAATTGACCTCCACCATGCAGGTGTGTGTCAGTGCACTGGCCACACTACTGGGACTGCCCCATGAATGCTCAGAGTATGTCCCATATTTAAGAGATGCTTAACTGTACTTAAAATCCTTTCTCTCAGGTAAAAGCATTTTAAAACTTTTTGGAAATTCAGAGTGATGCCTCAGAGTGCTTAAATAGCCAGAAAGCACAATATTGATCAGAATATCAATGGCGACCTTTCATTCAGAGTCTGGGGGACCCTCGAGGATCCCTCCCTCAGCCTTGCTTCATGCCCTTGTGTGCCCTTGGATCCTGGCAGCCTCAAAGTTCCCAATTACTGCAGGCCTCACCCTCAGAAGCTGTCTAACCATTCCCCTCGGCTGACTGTCAACTGTGTTCCTCAGAAGACACTGCCTCATTTTCAAAGGAACTCAGTAATGCTTTTTCTTAGAAAGCTATCATTAAAGGCCACTGTCCACATATCAGTAGCAAGAACCCAAAGGCACCTCTTTGATGAGATGTGTGAGGATATCTGGTTGGATAGCAAAGGCTCCCGGAGTCCTGACAACTCTACCGTGGTTCAGCTCTCCTGGGGTCTATTTCTGGCTCATGCATGTGAAAGAAGGGTGGGGCAAGCTCTTCTTCCTGTTATAAATGAAGGCCACTGTAGCTGCCAGCATCCTGGTAACCATAGTAACGATGGGCCACATGACAGGTACTGATCTCCATCAGACATTTTCTGTTATTAAGTGTTCTTCATCTTTCCTTCCACCCTCACCCCAGATCACGTTTAAATAGGTGGCATCGAGGACCTCCATGGGGAGCAGCTCAGGGCCTAGGAGACCTGAGCTGAAAGCATTAATTATACCTCTTATTTCCCCAGAATATTTTGCAATGCCAGGTCCAGGAGCCAAGAAAACCTCCCTGGGAAGCTCTGATGAGAGACATTGCTAAATCTAACACCAGAGACTGAAGTACTTCAGCTCCGCAGTTGTCAGCAGTAGGGTTCAGGGGAAGTTAAGCCTGGTATACAGCAGGCATACAATCAATACTTGTGGAAGAGTCAAGTTAATGAAATGGAGCTCATATAGCAAATGGGAATCATTCCCAAGCCACTGGAAGTCCTGTATGACATAATAATGTGAGTCATTCAGCAGTTATTAAGTGCCTGCTGCATGCACCAATCAGTGAAGGTGGGATGTACTAAAGATGTTAGCTTGTTGAATGAACCCCAACTTCCTGGGAGCAGTTGAAGTTCATGGCCATGTTGGGAACTGTGCAGTCAGGAGGGGTTCACAGGGACCACATCACAAAGGGTTTGGGATCAAAGTTGTCTCTCGGATTTATCTCTGGAATCTTTGAAAGCCACATGCACGAACAAGGTCAGCTCTGCATTTCAGAAACACCCTTTCCGATGCCCTGTAGGGAACAGATCAGAGGCAGACTATTGCTTTCATCAAAGGAACTTCTGAACCCAATTCTTAGGAGAATGGGCACCCTTTCCTCCTTCATTTGGGAACCTGGCCACCATGCTGGGTGATGCTCCTGCTACCTGGCTAGCCCCGGTGGAGGGGAATGAAAGTGTGCATTGACTGTCTCGCTGACTTTCCTGTAACAGCAGCCACCAACAGCTGGCCATGTGAATTTGCCATGGGACGCCCAGTTCAGTGGGACCTCAGATGACTGCAGTCCCAGAAGGCATAACACTGAAAACCACCCAGCTGAGCCCAACCACCCCACAAAACCAGGCTAAGTAGGAAAGTGCTCTAAGTCACTCAACCATGGGTGGGTTTTTTTTGTTTTGTTTTGGATAATTACATTTATTTTTTTATTCATTAAGTTTACTGGTACATTTTAGGTATACAATATGATGACATTCATCATTGGGAATTTGTACATTTACATGATATATCTCGGTTCTTTTGTTTGTTTGTTTTTTGGAACCGGGGATTGAACTCAGGGCCTTGCACTTGTGAGGCAGGCTTCAGCACTACTGAGCTAAATCTCTGGCCCTCTTGGCTCTTATTCTTCACCATTCCCCTGCCCTCCCTTCAGTCACGGGTGGTTTTTATGCAGGCTGAAAACCTGGAGGGTAGCACCAGGCAGGATTCAACCTGCGGCTCAGCAGGAAAAGTCTAGCTGGAGAGATCATGGACTGGGAACTCACTGGCTTCCTGGGAATTTGTGGATGAAATCCTGACAGCTCTTCTCTCTGGAGTCCAGCCTGCCTGGAGCATGCCCAGCTCAGCCAATGATTGCTGAATCAAACTCTGCTCTTAATGGAAAATGCAGCAAGCACTGTTGTCTTGATCAGACCTCTCCACGCCTACAATTCTAATTTTCCCACATGGTAAGCATGCTTTTATTCTGAGTCAAGTTTGTACTCCTAGCTGGGATGCCTGATGCTCTCTATGCTCCACAGGTGAGTCCTTTCGAGTGTGGGCTTGAGCTTGGGTTCCACAAGGCCATGTTCCCAGCTGTCCCACGTCCCCTCTGAGCCCGGTACTCTCATCTATGCATGGCATGAGAATCTTCCCTGCAGAGCTAGTGAGATAATAAAGGTGAACCACAAGGTCGAACCAAGGCAGGATGCAGAGCGCTGTCGGGCATCTGCACCAGGACACTGGGTTGTCCCAAGCGTCACCCTGTAGGAAGCCTCCTCCACAGGCGAGCTGGGCCATCTGCAGCTCCACCTGTTTGCAAAGCTTGGAGGGCACCAATCTGACAGCCTCTCTGCCAGGCCCGGGGGGAGAGAGAGGGTGGTGAGCAAAGGGTTAACCTGGTAAAGTCACAGGCCTGGCTCTGAGCCACCCGGGTGCCCAGCTGTCCCTGCGGGCAGGCAGAACCTTAAGGACAGAGGGAGGCAACCCTAAGTGCCGCAGGCTGGGCTCCTGTTGGGTAGGAGTCCGGTCACATGTTGCTGTTCGACACGCTCCTGGGTCAGCCTCCTGTCTGACGCCCTCCCTGTCGCTGCCTCCCTCCCGCCCCTCAGCTCGGCTCGGCTCGGCTCGAGGATCAGCGGCAGCAGCGGGAGAGCTGCCTAGCGGCGGGAGGCGGCGGACCGAGCCCGAGCGGAGCCCGCACCATGGTGCTCTCGGTGCCTGTGATCGCGCTGGGCGCCACGCTGGGCACGGCCACCAGCATCCTTGCGCTGTGCGGGGTCACCTGCCTGTGCCGGCACATGCACCCCAAGAAGGGGCTGCCGCCGCGGGACAGCGAGCCCGACCCGGAGAAGGCGAGACCCGGGGTGCTCCAGCCGGCCCAACAGGTGAGCGGTCCGGGCCGTGGGCCTGGGGGTGTCGCCTCTCCTCCCGCCACAGGGTTTGGCAGGGACGGGACGGAGGACGTGCTCAAGAGGGCCGGAGGGCCTGGGCGGATGGGGGCTGAAGGATAATTGGAGGTGAGGGGCGTGGGGGCTGGGAGGGGAGTGGGGCGGCAGAGAGGCTTACGGGAGGGGAGCAGCCAGGCCTTGGAGCGGCGTGGGGGAGGGGCTGCGGGGGGCTGCGGGGGACAGGGCACTGGGCTGGGTGTGGGAAGAGGCTGAGGGGGACTGCGGCTTAGGAGAGGCTGGGGACTGGGACTGTGGAGAAGGCGAGGTTTGCAGGATCCAGGGGGCTGGGGGGAAATGGGGTTCATGCGAGGGAGGAGGACAGCTGTGGGGCTGGTGTAGGACGCACACCACACAGCTAGGAAGAAAACAGAGCTGGCTCCCCCACCCTGGGTGTTGCCCCCAGTTGGGGAGCCTTGTGCAAAGGACAGCGGTGTCCGGGGTCTGCAGAGACCCTGAAAGGGGAGGACCCCACGGGACCCTGCCCACCCTGGCAGCCCTCAGCTCCAGCAGGGGGTCCCACAGCAACCCCCAAATTGCCTCTGAAGAGTCCCCAGAGACAGGAGCGCTTTTATCCCATGCCTTTGCTAGTCCCCAGAGCCCCTTTGGGCAGGAAAAGGGCTGTGTCCCCTCAGCCCTGGGGCAGCAGCAGGGTGATGGAGCAGTCTGGAAGGTATCCCTGCCTCAGCTGTGACCTCCAGCATGGGTTCTCACATGGCCTGCAGAATGCCCCCTGGAGAACAGAGAAACGTCTTGCCGGAGTGCTTAGAGGAAGGAGGCTCCTTAAATGACCTCCCACCCACCCCCATTCCCTATAGGTCTTGCAATTCTGGGAGCAGCACTAAAATCCCAGGGCTCCCCCGCCCTCTTTCCAATCAATTATTCACAAGCTCCCAGGACCCAGCTGTATGGGCCTATGTCGGTCACTGGATAGTGTGAGTAGCCGGGGAATGGCTGCTGTCCTTGAGGCACTTAAAATCCAAGCAAAGTGACATTGAGACTGGTAAACAGGAGCCCTGGGCTGTGGGATGTCACCATGGAGTGGTCTAGATATGGCGTTGGTAGGCTCTGCACTGGCAGGGACGGGATACGTCCTATCCGGAAATTGTGACCGACCCCTCAACCTGCTCCCCTGTCCAAGGGACAGTCATATTGCTGCTTTTCAGTGGTGCTCTCCAGGCACTGTCTTCTCCCTTTCCCAGAAAGAATGCTAGGGACACAACCAGTAGGAATGACTCCTGGAGGAAGGGCCCCCTCCCACCTCTGTCTTACTGACAACCAGCAGCCCACACAATGGCTGATCATCTGTTAAAGCCAAACCAGATTGTGTCTGTCCCCTGCTTCAGTCCCCCACAACATCTCAGCAGAATAAGCCAATGGTGGTATAGCACTGGGTCAGGCACTGCTCTTAATATACTCATTAATGCATATAACAACCCAGCAAAGGAGCATGTGCTGATCTGACTTAACGATTAGAAAACAGAAGTTCAAAGAGGGTAGGCAACTTACCCAAGGCCACACAGAGAAGTTTTAGAGCCCAACTCCAGCTGAGCTGGCCTGATTTTGGAGTCTGTGTAGTAGCTTCTCCACTCCATTCCCTCACCTGCCTAATGTATCTTTGATGGCCCCAGCATGTCCCCAGGATGTCCCCCTTCTGCCGCCTCAGGTCTCCTGGATTTATGATCATTCTGATAATACACCCAGCTCTTTCTGCCCCTGTCTTGTTTTCTGCTGACTTTTTACACAGATGGCTGCTTCTCATCCATTAGGCCTCTTGCCTGTTGACACAGAAAACAACGAATCTCCCATTACCCTTTCCCATATCATGCCTTCCTAGTTCTTTTATAGCCCTTGTTGCAATGGGATGTGGATTTCCAGATTCACTTTCTTGCATAAGATTTATTCCCACCTCCTGAAACCAGTAGGGATCAAATAAGAAACTGTTGACAAAGGAAGGCAGCCCAGCATCCTGCTGGCTGGGGCAATGTCTGGCTTCTCTCTTCACATGTGGGTGGCTGCACTACGCCTTTGTAACCCAGTTTGCTCACTCTGTAGGGACCTGATGAATACTTGTTGGTACGTGGCACCCGCCCCTCCACATCCCCTCACCTGTTTCCCTTGGGGACAGGGAATTGGGCAGCCCAGGGCTAAATCCATAGGTGCGAATATGGTGACACTGATTTGTCATAGTGGCTTGGTTGCCACTGTGCTCAGCCAGTGACCCAGATAAAGTAAATAAAGAAAAGACAACACAGTATATTTCAAAGAAAGTCCACAAGGCAGTGTGCAAGGTGGCAGGTGACAGCACAGTGGCGTAAGGGGCACATGTGGACAGGGAGGGCCAGAAGCAGGAAGGCTCTCTGGAGGTGTTCCTAGAGAGAAAGGCTGCACAGGTGGGGAGAGGGGTCTAGATTTCTGTGGCCCCGGCAGGGGTTTCTGAGGTGTGATCTGTGCCACTGAAAATGCGGGTGTTTGTAGAGTACCAACTTATGGCCTGTGACTCCAGATCTCACAGGTTGCCTTGCTGGAAAAGCTCCTTGAATTCATTCATAGGCCAGGCCTGGGAATCTGATTGCGACCCTGCCTGGCTGCAGGAAGTTGGCATTCCTAGTGATTCTGAAAAGAACTCTGAAACTTTCCCAAGGGTTTTACACCTGCCCAGACATCTGTAGATTGAGCTTAAAAGGTTTGTGGCCTTGGGTAGGAAAAAAGTCACATCTTTCTTCTCACTCCTTTTAGCATATAGTATAAGTAGCCTGAAGATCCCAAGTTCCAGCCCAGCCTGGGCAATGTAGCAACTTAGCAGGAACCTGGCTTCAAATTTTAAAAAGGCTGGGGATGTAGCTCAGTGCAAAAGGCCCTGAGTTCAATCCCCAGTACTACAAAAAAGAAAAAAAAAGGAATATAAACAAGAAACCACAGTAGCATTATTAATCCCTGTGACTTTTTCCCCAGGGAATCATACATGGTTCTGGAACACACTATAGTTGTTGCAACTACCTCCCAATACCATTGATGCTCATCTGTCTTTCTAAATTATGGTGTTTAATAAAGTCCCCGCTAGATCCAGTTAGCTAATGCATTCATAAAGAAGCATACATGTAGCTATTTTGCAAGTTGATCTCCTTAGCTGTTCCTTTGTAGTGTTCTATCTTTCATTTTCTGCTTTTCCAAGCATTCAGAGAACTTCTCTAGACAGAAAAAAAAATTGTAGAAGCTAAAAGGTCAGGAACTTCTGCTATGTTCAAGGTGGCTGGCTAAGGCGGGAGCCCTTGGTCATAGTTTCCTTTCATGGCTCCAGCAGGTTTCAGCTTGCAGTTCTTTGCTGTTTTTAAACATACACCCTGGACCTTTTATCCTTTCTTCTTGTGCAGCCCTTTGTTGAATTCAAGGGATTTAGTGTCATTATACTGTCCTTTCCTGGCCTGGCAGAGTCACCCGGGACCTCCCTGTCACCAGCCCAGCTCTGGAAGCTTGCCAGTGACCTGGTGCCTTGAGCAAGGAGACACACAGGAAGCAGACAGAGTAAGGGTGATTACATCTCCTTCACTGATCGCTTCTGAATTTATTTGCACACAGCATCCAGACCCCTTTCTTTCTTCCCCAGAAACTTCTCCCTATGTGTCTGTGCAGTGCCCTTCAGCCATTCCTGGGCCTTTCAGAGAAAGCCTCATTCCCACCTAAAGAGCTGTAGAGTGACAGCCCAGTCCTTTCCCCCAGCCCAGGACCCTGAAGTCCAATACTTAGTAGGAGTTTGGTCTCGTTTTCAGGAATCTTTCCTTTTAGCATCCTTCCCACATGGCACTTACCTTGTCGTGACCATAGATGGACCTTTGCAAATGCCTGAACTCCCCAGGAGGACCATGGTACCATCTCCAGGAAGCTGACATGTGGTCCAAGACTTTAGCAAGAGTGCTTGGCCTGCAGAGTGGTCACTACACCTTTTCCATCCACATCCCCAGGTCTTCCTGACACATGCTACCAAATTATAAAACCCTAGCCTTCTTCCAACAGACTTGGGATGCCCAAATGGCTTTCAATGGAACCCTAGTAGATTGATTCCAAGTTTTATGAACTGATATAAGTAAGTGGTGAATTTGTATCTAGCGATACATGTTGTATTAGTCAGCGTTCTGGGTGCTAGGTCGCAATTTCCATCACCTATAACTTAAAGGAGGAAGGGTTTCATTTGGTTCACAGTTACAGAAGACTCAGTCCATGGCCCACTGGCTCCAAGGCAGAAACATCATGGTGGAAGGGTATTGTGTTCAGTTCATGGTGGCCAGGAAGCAGAGCAAGGGAACAGCACCAGGGAGAAAGGGGCCAGGGACCTTATATCATACACAAGATCACAATTCCATGACCTACTCAGACACATCTAGGAGCAAGCTTTACAAATCTGCTAGGTACTTACTTCTCCAATAAAGTTGATATACCAGGATTAATAGTCACATACATACACTGGTGTCTTTTCTCCCCAGGGTCAGAATTGTATCCTTCACTTTCCTTGTATCCTTTAGCAATGTCTGGCATGAAGCTGAGCACATGATAACCCTTCAAAGTATGTTTAGAATGAAGTCAGTCTATCAAGTCTAACACTGAGGAGAAGGGAGACACAAAGGACACTCCATCAAAGATCCCTTTACTTGGGATGTGAAGCTGTGTGTGATTTCTTGTGTGACCCTGAGGAAAGTAATGCCAGGGCAGAGCGGGGACCCATTTGAGCTCTGCTTTTCCACTGCACTCTCAATCTCTGTGCTGGCTACCTATGTGTGTGCACCTTGTGCAAATTCACCCACTGTCCAGTTAGAATTTGTGTGCCTTTCTCTGTCTCTTCTACATCAATAAGGTATATAGGAAAAGCTATCATCTTGTGACATGATGCTTGTGAACACTGAGAATCAAGCCAGTATTTATTACCAGGATGACTTTTGGACCAT